AACCGATGGTGCCGCAGTTGCGGCCTCGGTGGTGTGTGAAGTGGCGGCGCTCCTACGGCCTGAGCATGAAGAAGCCGAACCGCAAGTACAAGGTGCCAAAATGGTTGCTCCAATCTCGTTTTGAGACTATGATCTTGAACGTGGCCAGGGTCCGCGCAGCTGCAGAGGAGCTTCTGGGGTACGACCCGCACGTCCTGAACTGGGACCAGTCGCCCTTTCACCACAACGAGTCGTCGTCGGCCTCGAAGCCGACCTTGGCTGTGAAGGGTGGCATTGTCCCGCTTGTCGAGGCGCATGACGACAGCAGGGCTCGGTGGACAGCGAACCTGACGGTGTCGAGCGACGCGGAGGACATCCGCAGTTTCGGACCACCGCCGGCGGAGCTAATGTTCAAGGGGGGATCTGTCATCGCTGAGGGCTTGGCCGCACATGCCCGCAGTCGCGGCTATCCGTCTTGGGTGAGCACGGCGACGTCCGAGAAGGGGTCCTACCGCGCAGACGACGTTGTATCATTCTTGCAGCGGCACTTGCGGGCCTGGCCCGCGACGACCCGCAGTTGCGGGGAAAGTGGCGCATCCTCATGGCCGACGACCATTCCCCGCACAAAGCAGACGCTGTGCGGAGACTCGCCTGGCAGCGCGGCTACGTGCTGATCATTCGCGGCGGGGGGGCGACCGCAGTTGCGCAGCCCGTGGACACGGACTTGAACCAGCACGTGAAGCGCCGGTACATTGCCCTCGAGACCAAAGCGCTGGTGCAGCAAATGGCGTTGGGGAAGCACGTGCCGCAGTTGCGGCGTTCCGTTTGCGCCGACTTGATGCTGTCAGTGTTGGAGAATGTGCAGTTGCACTTGGACGCCGCGAAAGGTTTCCTGAAAGTGGGAATTCGAGCGCCCTTCGACAAGTCAGGAGATCTCGAGATTTGCCGAGAGGCGGCGGAACTCTGGGAAGCAGGGGGGCTGCGAGCAAAAGTGGACACCGCAGTCGCGGAGGTGAGGGAAGAATGCGAGCAGAAAAGTTTGAAATGGTCCTACAATGACGTGCTGCGTCTCATACACGAATACGAGAAACACGACGCCACAGATTCCGTGTTGGAGAAGCTCGGCGACGAAGCGCTAGGCCAGGAGCCAGGCCACAAGGAGGGCGATGAGGAGGGCGGGGAGGAGGAGGAGGAGGAGGTGCACGAGGAGCACGAGGAGGACGAAGAGCAAGAGGAGGCCTCGTGGGCCGAGGCTCTTGCGGAACAGTGCGATGCCGCAGTTGCGGCACCTGGGCCTCAAGGATCCTTGGTATCCATGGACTGCGTGGTCGACGCAGAGGCGGCCGAGCAGGTGGCAGTGCGACGTCCTTGGCAGAAACGCTCCGCGAGGCGGAAGATATGCTGCGCCAAGTGGGCATGGAGAAACTAGCGCAGGATTGCCGACAGCAACAACACAAACAAAAGAAGCGGTTGAGAGAGCTGGCGCGGGAGGACAACGAGGTCCTACGAGCGTTGACTGCCCAGCGAGACCACGAAGCCGCAGTGGTGGCGAAAAAGCGGCGCCTGGCTCTGGAAGCGAACGACAGGACGAAGGTGTTGCACGATCTCAAGAAGCAGATTCGAGAGGCCGAGGCCGCCTTGAGGGCAAAGAAGGAGGCCGCAGTTGCGGTGGAAACGGCTTTGGCTAACAAACACGCCCTAGCGCAGTGGAATCCCGAGGAGTTCAAGATCAAGAAAAACAGGATGGCAGCTCTGGTTCGCCTGGCTCGCGGAAAAGGCGTCCTCTCAGACGAGCAGAGGGGGGAGTGGGCATGGTTCAAGACGCATTGGGACGAGGAGATGTGCAAGCAGCACAAGGAGCAATGGCCGCTCACGTTTGCTGGGTGGCTGCAAAAAAGTCGCGAACGACGCGGCGTCTGGGAACCGTTCGGCGCTGTCGCAGTTCGTGCATTCGGAAACAGTGAGAACCCTGGGAGGGCAAATGGCGCTGGTAATCCCAGCCCTAGCGTGATGCAGGCCGCAGTTGCGGACCCACAGGAAGTCCAGAGGGAAGTTGTTTTTCCAAGCGGCCCCCGCGCGGGCAGGAGATGAGGCAAAACCGCAGTTGCGGTCTTCCTGCTGCTGTGAAAATAATCCTTTCACAGTCCCTTGCAATCGTCGCCCTCCTTCTGCTTCTCCGCCAGTCCATTTGTTGTTCTTTCGGTTCCTTTGAGTCCTCGCCCTCCTTCTGCCACTCCTCGAATCCTCTTTGTCTCCTCCCTCCATCCGACCCCCTGCCCATTCACGATCCATTTCCGTAGCCACCGTGGCTCGAGGTGGCGCACGCGAAGACGCAAGCATGTGGCCGCCCGCGCGCCCGAGCGCATCCTCAGGGAGTATGGACCGTGGACTTCGATTCGCCAGAACGGTGTTCATCCACAACGCTGAGGAGTAGGAGGGAGGCAAAGACGAGGAAGCCGCAGTTGCGGATGATGACGACGACCAGCGGACGCAAGATGGCGACAGCACCGTCGCGTCCTCGGCTGCCTCCGCTGACGAGGCTGAGTCCCGGGGAGGTGCGGGAGCCGCAGTTGCGGCAGCACCTGACTCCTACATGCCGAGAGTGTTGTCGTCGCGGAGAACCTGGAAACGGGTGCCCATCATCGAGACAAGCAATCTGTCGGAAAAACAAAGAGCTCTTGTCGACGCATGGGAGGAGAAAACGGAGTTCGAAGCGGGACGGGTCGGCTTCTACGTGGCCAACTTTGGAGGGACTGCAGCTAGACCCACGCAACGCGCGGACGAGTGGGCGCAGCTCCGCGCGAACCCTGCCCAGATCATCGCCCTCTGCGAGTGCGACGACGAGACCTGCGCGGTACTCTGTGGGGAGCACGACGCGAGGGACAGTGCAGCCGCAGTTGCGGACGATAGGTTTCGGAGTCGGACTCAATACAACTACCTGTGCGTTAAGGGCGGCGAGCCATCAGGGACCCTCCTTGTTGGCATGAGGGACCGCAGTGGCGGCCACATTGAACACGTAGACTTTGCGAGACTCTTCACAAGCAGGAGAAGTCCAAAACGAAGAAGAAGAAGAAACAGTCCGCAGTTGCGGAGGCTCCTGCGCCAAAGCTGCACAACAAGTACTCCAGGGCGATGGTGGTGCGCGTCCACCTGGACCAGGCCGTGCCCCATTTGGGGGGCTCCTTCAACGTCATGGCGGTGCACGCCCACCACAGCTTGGCCAACCAAGACTGGGGCGTCACGAAGCTCCATGAGTTCTACAACTGGTTCGTCGCCTACGTCAGGGAATGGGACGTGAAGGTCTGCATGGGGGACTTCAACATGCGCATGTTCCAGCTTGTGTCCTGGTGCCGCAATTGCGGCCTGACTGTGGACGTCGCCGCGTGGACCCCCTGGAAGACAGCAGGCGGCCAGCCCAGGGCAGACAGCATGGCGATTTTGTTCATAAGCTGTCCTGGGCAGTACAAGCTTCACCATGGCCTGAGTGTTCTGCGCGACCGTGAGGGCGGATTCTTGACGACCCAGCATGATCCGTCTTTCCCTGTCTTCGACTACACGAATGGCCCTGGGAAGATGCTTCAGACTTACGAGCCCAAGGCTGAGCCCGTTGAAAACAAGATGCGCGCCTTCCTGACGCCATCTGGCGAATCCTTGACCGCAGTTGCGGAGTTCGAGCAAAGGATGGCGCGCAGGGAACGCGACGATTGGGTGCGCTATCCCTTCAGAGTGAAGCAGGGCAACCTCGACGACAAGATATGGCGTGGCGCCTTCGGCAGGGCGAGGCACGGAGCGCACTTCCCTCTGGTGGCTTTCACGCACAATACGTGCCGCAGGTCACCTGAAAGACTCGCCGCGAGGTTGGAACGCAGGAAGGGCGGCAGGAAGGGCGGCAAGAAGGGCGGCAAGAAGGGCAGCTACGCGGACACCGCTGTTGCGGGGAAGGGCGTCCGACCCCAGATGGGAACCGCAGTTGCGGGGAGAGACGCTGGGGCTGAGCGAGCTGGGAACACGCCACCGCCGCAAGCTGCCAACGGCGACGATGCGACCCCATCTTGTGCCGCAGTGGCGGCTGGGTCCTGGGACGCCAGCGGCAGCGGCGCATGGGAGGCGCGCAGTCCCGCCACGAGATGGCAGGGCTGGTCCTGGTGGGACTGGAGCTCGAGCGATTGGGGCGCTGATGGCGCGCAGTGGTGGCCCTCTGATCATGCCGCAGTTGCGGACAATGCCCCTGAGGGCTCGCCTCCTCAGCGTGAAGTCGAGTGGGGCTCGAGCGGGCGACCTGCCGAGCGCCCTCCGCGGTGCTTCGAGGGGCAGCGTTGGTGATGGCCGCAGTTGCGGGCAAGTGGAGCATGATGTTGATTGCCGCAGTTGCGGACAGTGTACGCTGGAAAAATCATCATCATCATCAATCATAATCAACATCATATCATCATATCATACGTTCAAAGCAGTGCCGGGGCACTGCTTTGAACGCGTTCAAAGCAGTGCCGGGGCACTGCTTTCGATCGTCGCCTCGTCGCCGTTATAAGGGCTTTCGGATTACCCTCGAACGGGGGAGGAGGAGGGGGAGGAGGAGGAGGAGGAGGAGGAGGAGGAGGAGGGTCGCAGGTTCTTGAAGGAGGCTCTTCTGTCCCAGGTCCGACCGTGCCGGGAGCTTCTTCTGGGGCCCGACGGGGGCTTTCACAGGGGGCCTGCTCGGGGGCTGCTCGGAGGGGCGGGGACCTGCGCGGGGACCTGCGCGGAGTCTCGGGGCTGGTTTCGGGCGCGGTGGTACACCCGAGGAGAACGAGGAGGAGGAGGAGGAGGAGGAGGAGGAGGAGGAGAAGGGGGGGAGGAGGGAGAGGAGGAGGAGGGAGGAGGAGGAGGAGGAGGAGGAGGAGGGAGGAGGAGGGGAGGCGGGTGAGGAGGAGGAGGAGGAAGTAGGGGGAGGTAGGAGGCCCGCCTGCTTACCTCCCTCGTCCTCCTCGTCATCCTCCCCTCCAGGGAGGGACGTCTGCTCCCGCGCCCGCGCTCGCTCCCCGAGGCGCAGGCTGGCGGGCAGTCCGTTACCGCGGAGATCGGCGACAGGGTCGGCGGGCCAGCGGTGAGCGCCCCCGCGGAGTCCGAGGCTCCTCGAGACGGGGGCCGCGGCGCCCCCGCCTTGCCTCCTCCTCCTCTTCCTCCTCCTCCGCCACCCTGGTCCTCACTCCTCTCCTGGCCTCCTCCTCCTCTCCTCTCCTCCTTCTCCTCATCCACCCTATCCTCCTCCTCCTCCTCCTCCTCCTCCTCCTCCTCCTCTTCCTCCTCCTCCTCCTCCTCCTCCTCCTCCTCCTCCTCCTCCTCCTCCTCCTCCCTGTCCTCTTCCTTTTCCTGCTCCTTCTCCTCTCCCACTCCCTCTCTCCCGCACTCCTCTGCCTCTTCCTCCGCCTCCTCCTCCTCCTGCTTGTGCGGCGCTTGGCCGTGGGAGTTTGTCGCACACGTCTGCCGTTGGGGCCTTCTCATCACCGCACCGCCTAGGTGTCTGGCGTGCCGTCCGGCCTCCGTCTCCTCCTTCGCTCCTGGCCCGTCTCCTCCCCTAATATTCCCCTCCTCTCCCCTCCCTCTCCTCCCTTTCCTCCACGCTCCTTGCTCCTCCCCTCATCCTTTCTCCTCTTCCTTCTCCTTCTCATCCTCCAACCTCTCCCTCGGGACTTCGCAACACGGCTTTCGTTTTGTTTGTTCGATTTGCACCCAGGCTCGTTTTCGTGGCGCCAGGGCCATCGAAGGATGGCCCGCAATGAAACGTTGGTCCCCTGGATGTGGTCGAACGTTCCAGGGGGCCAGTCGTGACCATTGCATGACGTCGGAGACATGAGCCTCTTGGGGGAAAGCATCGGAAGTAGGAAGAATCCTGAGGGGAAGAGGAGTGAGTGAGGAGTGAGTGAGGAGTGAGTCAGGAAGACGAGGAGGAGGAGGACGAGGAGCGAGGGAGGATGGAGGGAGAGAGGGAGGATAAGAGGGAAAATGAGGGGATCCTGTACGATGTGTACACTGTCACCGAATATCGCACTGGAAGGATCAACATCGGAAAATGTTTGGCGGTGGTACGTTTGACATACAGGAAATATGTAGTACATCTCCGCACACTGACACGCATGGAGTAGCACGATCGATGACACACACACACACACACATGTCTATGTGCATCTGTCGTGCACATGCCCACGTGCACATGCGTAGGCCTGTATGTGGATATGTCCCCGCCTCGTGCCCTCCTTCTCGGCCTGCCTTCCCGCTCATCTCCTCCCTCGACCTTCCTCCTCCTCTTCCTCCCCCCTCCCTCCTCCTCTGCCCCTCGCCCTCCTGTGCCGTTGCCGCAGCGCTGCCTGGGGACTCGAGGGGTCGGCCTCTCTTCGCTGGGGAGGACCCGTGGAGCAGCCGCCTCCCCCCCTCGCGCACGGGGTGTGCATCGCCTGCGAGGGCACAGCGACCGCGCCGATGCCGTGTCCGTGACCTTGCGGTACGACCTCCGCCCCCTCCTCCTCCCCTCCTCCTCCTCCCTCCTCCTCCTCCCTCCTCCTACCTCCTCCTCCTCCCCCGCCTCCTCCTCCTCCTCCTCCTCCTCCTCCTCCTCCTCCTCTCCTCCTCCTCCTCCTCCTCCTCCTCTGCTCCTCCTCCGCTCGGCGGCGGGCGCGGGGGGGAAATGAGAAGGGGCGGGGCTTCCGAGGCTTCCGAGAAGTTTCTGGACTTCTGAGAGGGCTTCTGAGAAGTTCTGCCTGCATTCGAAATGGGCCAGGGAAACGTCTCAGAAGCCCCCCGGGCTTCTGAGAAGTCCCGCGGCCTTCTGAGGAGGCCTTCTCCTTCTCATTTCCCCCCTGGGCTCGTCGCCTATCCGCGGCAGGGGGGGCAGGTCGGGGGGGGGGTCGCGACCACAGCCCAGCACCAGCCAGCGGCACAGCTGTATACTCAGTCGGCCTGCAGGGGACCTCACGGGCAAAGGATATGCAGTCAACCCGAGCAGTAAGGATGAGCAGCTCTCCAAGGCTGCCCTTGCATCCTTCCCCTTCGGCCCATCCTTGGCCGCTCTTGCCGGCCGCGCCCTGCTCGCGGAGTGTCGGCATGGCCTTCCGAGGCCCTCCCATCCTTCTCGTGCCTCCTTCTTGTACGGCCTGGCTGTATAGTAGCAGTCTCCCTCCTCCCCAGACCCCCGACGTCATGCTTTTTTTGTTCTCCATGACGCGCCCCTCAGACGCCTGGACCCCTTCCTCTGGACCGGTTTTTCATCCTGGGCCGTTCTCGGAAGGTCCCGAGGCCCGGGAAGGGCCCCGAGGCCCCGGGAGGCCGAACGCAGCGACAAGCCTCCCGTCGTGAGTTTTCTCGCAGCGCGAGGGGGTACGGGTCCGCGGCAGGGGGTGGAGCAGGCGGGGAGGCGAAGGGGGGGGGGTGCGCCCGCCGCGGGCGTGCCCTGTGTGGGGGCAGGGGCGCCCCCCCGGCAGGGGCCAGCGGGGGGGGTGGGCGCCCGCACCCCCCCCCCGCCCGTCGGCGGGGGGGGGGCAGTCGGCGTAGGAAGAGGAGGAGGAGGAGGAGAGAGGAGGAGGAAGGAGGAGGAGGAGGAGGTGAGGAAGGGGGAGGAGGAAGGAGGAGAGAGACGAGGAGGAGAGAGGAGAAGGGAGGACGAGGAGGATTAGGAGGAGGAGGAGGAGAAGGAGGAGGAGAGGAGGAGGGGAGGAGGAGGAGACGACGACGAGAAGGAGGAGGTGGAGTAGGAGGAGAGAAGAAGGAGGAGAGGAGGAGGAGGACAGAGGAGGACGACGAGAAGGAGGAAGGGAGGAGGAGGGGGAGTAAGACGAGGAGGAGGAGGAGGAGGAGGAGGAGGAGGAGGAGGAGGAGGGGGGAGGAGCAGGAGGGGGCCAGCGGGGGGCGGGGGGAGTGCGCCCGCCGCCGGCCGGGGGAGGCTCCCGCCCCCGCGACGCGCAACACCACGGCCGCGGAGGCGGCGGGCCGAGGCTCGCCGCCGACACCGCCGCCGCGGCCACCGCCGCCGCCGCCGCTGCCGCTGCCGCCGCCGCCGCCGCCGCCGCCGCCGTCGTCGTCGTCGTCGTCGTCGTCGTCGTCGTCGTCGTCGTCGTCGTCGTCGTCGTCGTCGTCGTCGTCGTCGTCGTCGTCGTCGTCGTCGTCGTCGTCGTCCCGTAGCCATGTTGGCTCAAGTTCGAAACCTTGCCGCGAGGCTTCGAGCTTGCCCGCAGCTGTGCGGCAGGCTCGAGTCGCTGTGCGGCCACAGGGCCAGTTGCAACCACGGCACCTTTGCAGCAGGTGCCAATCGTTATCCTTTTTCATTCTCGTTCGAATCAGCGCAGGGTTGCCATGGCCTGGCGCGACGGTGCTCCCTGGCGCGCTGGCGGCGGCTGGCGCGGTCGAGGCGTCGCACGCGGGAGCAGCGGCGACAAGGCGAAGAAGAAGCAGTATGACGTCTGCTCGGTGTGTCGCCACTGGGAGTACAAGGCCTACGGCAATTGGTGTTGCTCCAAGTGTGGAGGCCTGCACCTCAAGGACGAAGCTGGTGCCCCTGGTGCTCGCCCCGATGGGCGGGATGGTGGTGCGCAAGCACAGGGCGGAGCTGATGATGGAGGACTTCGCGCTGCGGCGCAGGTCCTTCTGGCGGCTCGTCCTGATCTCCAAGGGCAGCTGGGCGAGTTCGTGCAGCCACCGCCGCCCGTGGAGGAGTGGAGCCAGGCGCAGCTCTCGGATGCAGCCAGCACTGAGCGCACGCGTCTCACTCGTGAAGTGGAGAATCATGCCCGTGCTGTGCGCCTTGCGTCCCAGGGCTTGCATCAACGCAGGTCCAAGGTCCAGCGCCTGCAGGAGCAGCTGGACGAGGCGCAGGCGGCTATGCGCACGGCCCAGGCAGCAGAGCAAGAGGCTCAGACCAAGAAGAAGGCTGCGGGTGACCTCGTGGCCGCGTTCAAGGAGGAGGAGTGGATCGCCAGCAAGCGGCAGGAGATGGCTGCTGCTGCTGGGGCCGCACGCGCTGCCGCCGCGCAGCGCATGCGCGGTGGCGCTGGTGGCGGTCCGCCACCGCCGTGCGGCGGCGCTGCCGCTCCTGGGGCTGCTGGTGGCGACGGCGGCGCTGGGTGCGGCGGCGCTGCCGACGTCCAGATGGGGGAGGAGTTCCCCGACCTCACGGGCTACGACGACGTCCAGCTGCGTGAGTTCTGCGTCGGCCAACAGCTCCCCTTCCAGTTCGTCAAGCAGTTCGTGCGGATGCAGAAGCAGATCTTCGATGTGCCCGTCTCTGGCGCGGGCTCTGGCGCTGGTTCTGATGCTGGTGACCTACTTGCAGAGGCGGCCGATGAGCCGGCCGCGATCAAGAAGCGATCTCTCGAAGGTGCACTGCCAGAGCAGGACCAGCACCGAATGGAGGAGCTCATGGCCCAGAAGGCCGCCGCACGTGCGACCAAGCGTCTGCGGCGAGCCAAGGAGACCGTGAGCGTTCAGTTCAAGGATTTGTTCAAGGCTGCGGTCCAACAGATGCCAGCGGCTGGACTTTAGCAGCAATAAGTGTGTGAGTGAGAGGCAAGTTCGGTTGATTTATTGTAATATAACGCGCTGGAGTACTCTAGCCAAGTCTTTCTTTTCTGACCTGCATTCCAAGGCTGACGCCTTCCTGTTTTGTGAACACCGCCAGCTCCCCGCTGAGCTGAAGGAGGCTAAACGGCAGGTTGCCGCCATGAAATGACGGCCTCACTTTTTGCCCGCGACCCCCTCCCCTGAGGGTGGTGCCCATGGGGGCGTCGGGGCCGCTGTGCAATTAATTATATATAAATATATATATATATAATATATATAAATAATATATATATATATATATTTTAATATATATAATAAAGGCTATTCTGTTATTCATATTTGTTTAGTGAGCGACGCATGTTTGATTCGTTTGTTGTCGGGCGCCTTTCCGAGTACGACAGGAAGGGTTCAGGTGAGACATCCAGGCCTGAGCCTCGCCCTCTGGACTCATGATTCTCTGTTGCACCTCGGACTCCTCTCTATCGAATGGCCTTCCCGCCACTGTGCCTAGGTTGTAGGTGTTGAAGCCTATTGGATGTTCGTTGGGATTTCGTAGTGGACCTTTTTGTTGAGGCCTCCTGGGGTCAGTTTTGCGGCCACTGGGATGCAGTTTTGAGGCCTCTTCGGGGGAGTTTTGGAGTCTCTTGGGGTCGCTGTTGGGTCCCTTGGGGGCCTCTTGGAGTCTCTTCAGGCCTCTTGGGTGCCTCTTGGGGCTCCTGGGGCCCTCTTGGATGCCTCTGGGGCACTCCTGGGGTGGTATTGGGGACCTCGGGCCGTCCGGGAGCGTCGGAAAAGGAAACGGGCGAGAACGCCTACATTTTTTAAGCATCGAAGGCAAGTCAATGGTTTTTTGCCCCTGAGGGTTCTCTTGGGAGGCATCTGCGGGGCATCTTGGAGGCCTCTTGGGCCATCATGAAGCCATGTAGGGCGTAGGCCCACGCTGTTCCGCAACCGTCGCGCGAGAAACCGCGAGAAGCCCCAGGAGAAGATTTCGCGATGTGGGGTCTGGGTCTGTGAACGACTCCTCAATAATGGGGACTGAGGTTGAGAGGATGATGGAAGGACCTGAGGGCGCGCCCACTCCGTGCCCAGAGGCACGGAGGCGGATCTACATAACCCTGAAAATATGATGATCGTGGTTCTGACGGATCGCATCGCGTTTGCGAGCTCCAATGGGGGAGCCGCCTGAGGGTATTTCATGTTGTTTGTGGTTGGAATCGTAGGGGGTGGCAGTGACTCGGGTTAGCGGTCGGTGGATTTGGCGAAGAGGCAAATATTATCCAGGAGCAGCGATGACCCCATCTCCGAAGGGGAAACATGGGGTTGGACAAGGAATCGCGATTGACCATCTCCTGCCCAGGAGGAGGGGGGGGGATCTAGGAGACCGCATGCGAGAAGTCGTCCAGGTCGGTTTCGACGAAGCCATCATCGTTCTTTCGGGCCTTGGGATGCCGTCTGCGAGGCGCTCCGGTCGGTTTCGCCTGAGACCTCCCTGCAAGTGCGGGCTTCGAGATGCCGCGCGAGAGATAGTCAAGCCCATTCCGCTTAGACATTCTCGTCGCTGTCCTGAGGCGGTCCAGCTCTTTTGGCTTGAGACATCCTCGCTGTTGTAGGCTTCGAGGCCGGCGATAGGACCATCTAGCTTCCCCCCCCACACACACTCGCAACTCAGGGCCCATGGATGCCCTGACCTGAGCTGGCCCAGCCAGTTTCGCTTCACACTTCGTCACAACTCTGGGTTCGTATATGACCTGGCCTAAGGTCGTCCAGCCATAGTCGCCCGATGCATCCTCGTTATTCTGGGTCAGTCGATACTCTTGCCTCACGGTATCCGATCCCGTTTCCTTGTTGTTCTGGGTTTGCAGCTGCCGTGGACTGATCGTTTCGCTTGAGATCTCCCTGAACTCTGGGCTCAGCTACTCATGTCCTCATCTCGCGTGGTCCCGGTCTTTTTCGCTGGGACATCGTCGAAGGTGTGTTTTCGGGGATGCCCACACATGAGGTGGTTCAACCAATGTCGCCCGAGATCTCGAGGGGGCCAGGAGGGGGGCGTCGGTAGGTTTTGGCCGAGAAATCGGTGGGTGGGGGGTCCCAAGAGCAGAGGCTCCATGGGGTGGGGATGCCGGGCAAGGAGGGGGGCGTCGTAGGGTTTGGGTGAGAAATCGTAAGGTAAGGGGCGGGGGCTTCCAGAACAGAGGCTCCATGGGGTGGGGATGCCGGGCCAGGAGGTGGGCTCCGTAGGTTTTGGGCGGGGCGAGAAATCGTAGAGTGGAGGGTCCCAAGAACAGAGGCTCCGTGGCGTGGGGATGCCGGGGCCAGGAGGGGGGCGTCGGTAGGTTTTGGGCGAGAAATCGTAGGGTGGGGGGTCCCAAGAACAGAGGCTCCATGGGGTGGGGTGCCGGGGCAAGGAGGGGGGCGTCGGTGGGTTTTGGAGGGGGAAATCGTAGGGTGGGGGGCTCCACGAACAGAGGCTCCATGGGGTGGGGATACCGGGGCCAGGAGGGGGGCGTCGGTAGGTTTTGGGCGAGAAATCGTAGGGGGGGGCTCCAAGAACAGAGGCTCCATGGGGTGGGGATGCCGGGGCCAGTAGGGGGGCGTCGGTAGGTTGGTGAGAAATCGTAAGGTGGGGGTCCCAAGAACAGAGCGTACCCCATGGGTTGGGATGCCGGGCCAGGAGGGGGGCGTCGGTAGGTTTTGGGGCGAGAAATCGTAGGGTGGGGGGCTCCAAGAACAGAGCTTCCATGGGGTGGGGATGCCGGGGCCTGGAGGGGGGCGTCGGTAGGTGTTGGGCGAGAAATCGTAGGGTGGGGGGGTCCCAAGAACAGAGGCTCCATGGTGTGGGGATGCCGGGGCCAGGAGGGAAGGGGGTTCCAAGAACAGAGGCTCCTGGGCGGGGATGCCGGGGCCAGGAGGGGGGCGTCGGTAGGTCTTGGGCGAGGAATCGTACCGGTGATGATGCCGATGACGATGACGATGATGATGATGGTGATGATGATGTTGGTGATAATGATGATGATGCTGATGTTGATGACGATGCTGTGGATGATGGTGCTGCTGCTTATGATGGTGCTGCTGATGTTGCTGTTGATGATGATGATGTTGTTGATGGTGATGGTGATGCTGTTTATGATGCTTATGATGATGATGATGATGATGATGATGATGCTGATGATAATGATGCTGACGATGATGATGCGGATGAGGATGGCGAGGAGGAGGATGAGGCTGATTATGATATTGATGCTGGTGGTGGTGCTGCTGCTGCTTATGATGATGATGATGATGATGTTGATGCTGATGCTGATGCTGATGCTGATGCTGATGCTGATGCTGATGATGATGATGGTGATGGTGATGGTGATGGTGATGGTGATGGTGATGGTGATGGTGATGGTGATGGTGATGATGATGATGATGATGATGAGGAGGAGGAGGAGGAGGAGGAGGAGGAGGAGGTTTGACTTCTTTCCTGACTACCCCCTCTCCCTTTTTTCCTCCTCCCTCTGCTTTTCCCCTTCCCAGCTGCCTCCACTCCGCCGCCCCCATCCCTCCTCTGTCGTCTGCGGCACGCACAGCTCAGGAACACTGCAATCCACCAGCGTCCCTCCTTCCTCCTCGCCTCTTCCTCCTCCTCCGCCTCCGTTGTCCTGCCTCCCTCCTGCCTCCTCTCAGGAGGAAAAGAAACACACAGACACAATTAGTCCTCGATTCCCCCGAAAATATAGGAAAATATGGGAAGTTGGGGGGGAAGACGGAAACCCAGAAAATATTGGAACATATGGGGAATCGTGTTATTTGTGTGTATTTATTTGTGTGTCCCAGGGCCCCTTCATCCTCCCCCTCTCACTCTCCCGCCTTTCTGCCCCCTCCTCCTCTTAGCTCCGTTGTCCAGCTGCCCGTCCCCAGGTCAGACCGCTACGGCGAACACCACCCTCTCGCGGAGCTCGGGCGCGCAGGGCAACAGGCGCCATCGCCTCTTGAATCGTCTGCGATTGCCGCTGTCTCTCCCTCCGCCTCCTTCTCCACGTCACTCGCAGGGGTGCGAAGGCGACCGCGCTCCGCGGCGAGGGCAGCGCGCACACGATCGAGCCCAGCGCCTCGCGCGCCGCGCGGGGCGCAACGCTCATACGTCACCGTGTTGCCCCGCCTCCGTCCACCCGGCCTCTCTGCCCGTGGCCTTTCCTGCTCTGCCTAAGCCACCGCCGCTCTCCCCTCCCTCCTCTGGGCTGCTCCGTCCCAGACTCAGGAGGAAAAGAAACACACAGACACAATTAATCGTCGATTCCCCAGAAAATATAGGAAAATATGGGAAGTGGGGGGGAAGACAAAAACCCAGAAAATATGGGAAAATATGGGGAATCCTGTTATTTGTGCGTATTTATTTGTGTGTCCCAGGGCCCCTTCACAGACGTGCCCCCTCGGCCCCCTCGCCGGCGGCGCGGGGGGCAGCGCGGACGCTGCTTGGAGCACCGCCATTCTCCGGCATCGGGGGCGCCGAGGCGCCGCCGCGCCGAGGCGACTCGCGCCGATGCCGCGCGTCGCTCGTTTGATCGGCCTGTTTTCCACCACCACCACCATAAGTTGGAGGGGGAGGGGGTCCTCCTCCTCCTCCTCCTCCACCGCCTCCTCCTCACCTCCTCCTCGTCCTCCTCCTCCTCCTCCTCGTCCTCCTCCTCCTTCCCCCTCCAACTTATGGTGGTGGTGGTGGAAAACACGCCCATCATCGTTCGGCATCCGCTGACCTATGCTCATCGACGAGCCCTCGAAGTGGAATCGGGCACAGCCAGGACCCCAGGTCAGGGGGCCCGTCTCGCAGCTGTAGGGCTATAGGGCCCCGCCTCGCGGCTACAGGGCCCCGTCTCGAGCCGGCAGCCCGCCTCGCGGCTACAGGGCCCGTCTCGCAGCCCGGCCCCGCGGGGAGGGAAGGGCAGGATGTCAGAGGAGGCGCGAGCGCACCCAGACGAGGCGCGCGCGCGCACCCGAGAGGCGCAAGACCCCGAACTGTGGCAGCACCTGCAAGGTCGGGTATAATTAGCCAGGACCCCAGGCAAGGGGGCCCGGTCAGTGGTGGTAGGGCCCCAGAGCCCCCAAATTGGCGAGAATCACCGAACCAGGTTTGCCGTAGCTGGTGTTCTTCGGGTCACAGCAGTCCCGGTGAGTGGAGCGGGGCGGGGGGTGTCCCCCAGTACACATCTCAGGAGGGGAAGAAACACACAGACACAATTAATCGTCGATTTCCCAGAAAATATGGGAAAATATGGGAAGTGGTGGGGAAGACAAAAAACCCAGAAAATATGGGAAAATATGGGGAATCTTTTTATTTGTGTGTATTTATTTGTGTGTCCCAGGGCCCCTTCAACATCATGAAACCAGGTCCCCATAAACCCAGTTCTGCCAACGCCCGATGGAAGCCTGCACGCGGTCCAAGGACGGCCCCACGACGGCCGACGAGGAACCCAGCCCGGATGGCCTCGGGGGGCCCGCCGACGGCAGCAGGGGGTCCGCAGGTCTCGAGAAGGTCCGAAGGATTTCGATCGGCGGCGAGCGAGGGGGGGGGGGGGGAGTGAGAAGGAGAAGGCCTTCTCAGAAGGCGGCGGGACTTCTCAGAAGGCCTCTGGCCTTTGAGGCGCTTTCTGCGTCTTCGGGGAAGGGCCATGAAACTGCTCAGAATCTGAAGGCCAGGGGACTTCCAAGCCTTCTGAGAATCAGAGCGTGAATTACCTCCCCCGCTTTCGCTTCCAGGCAAAACCAAGTCATACCAGGCGCCTCCTCGTCAGGCGGCCTGACCAGTACAGACCGCAATTTGGCATCGCTTGGTATCTCTTGGAAGCGAGGGTGGTCAAAAGCGAGGTAGGTTTGTTTTCCCCCTAGAGAAGGCCCGCTCCTTCTTTTTGTCCCCACCCGCGCTCGCCGCCAAATCCTGTCGTCCTTCCGCCTAGATCCAGGCCTCCCAAAATGGGGCCCGAGCAGATGGTGTCGGGGGATCGCGCCGCCTCGCCGATTCATGAGCGCTGCGGCTTGAAGTGGAGCCCGATTATCTCTACACCTTGGGCGATGCTTAAGAAAACTCAAGTTTTCGGCCAGAGACTTGATTCTTCTTAATATTTCAATGTGAATCCTAAGATTTTGATAGAAAGTTTGGGTTTTTATTCGAGTTCTGAGACCATGAATTTCTTAACCCATGATTTCTTAAGCATTTCGCAGGGTGTACGCCGACGTCGCCGATGCATCGACGACGCATCGGCGATGCGGCGCAATTCTCCGACCCTATCTACTCGGGCCCTGTTGCAGAGGGACTCGGTCTCTGGTAGAGGCTCCCCAAACAACCCTGTACTTCGGCGCCTTCTTAGAACACATGAGAGTGTACGTGTAGGCTCCCAGCCACCACGTTACCGAGGCCTGGGGGGAAGTCTCACGGGGAGACCCAGGGGAGCCTATGATCGCCCAGGGATCAATGGATTGTTGGATGCAAGCAAGCAGTTTCAGTGCTTAATGTTGAGGTCTTGAATGGACTTGAGGACGCTCCACTCAGGTCGGAGGCAAGGAGGAGGAGGAGGAGGACGAGAAGGAGGAGAAGGAGGTGGAGGAGGACTATGAGGAGGAGGAGGAGGAGGAGGAGGAGGAGGAGGAGGAGGAAGAGGGGGAAGTGAGGGGGGGCGAGCCTTCTCAGAAGGCTCGGAAGCCCCCGGGCCTTCGGAAAAGTGTTCTAAAGATTTCCCCGAAGACACAGAGCACCTTTCAGAAGGCCGTGGGGCTTCCGAGAAGCCCCGACGACTTCTGAGCGGGCCGTCTCCTTCGCATTTCCCCCTCGCTCGCCGCCGATTAGCGCTTACGGCACAGTGGCGTGTATTCATCGGCATGTGAAAGGAACGTGTGTTTTGAGCTCACACGCCAGCATCATTGGGCCTCGTATTCTCTCTCTCCCTCTCTCGTTCTCGCTCTCTCGCTTTCTCTTGAACGCTGTCAAACTGCATTGGGGCAGAGCCACGAGCGCGCGCAGCGCACTGGCGATGCATCCTGTTCGGCATGGCCTGGATGTTGCTGTGGTGTCGCGCTGCGTTCGGTGGAAGCACGGAGAGCATTGGCTCCACCGATCGCAGAGGTCTTCGGCAAGCTCAACGACAGCAGCATCTGCAACCAATTGGACAAGCTCCACCACACTGGCTCCTCTGCCACCGACGACATCGCGGAATGCGGCCCAAGGGCCGGCAGAGAGCGCATCACAGTCTGTTGCGGACCAGTGGTCCAATTTGGCAATGCGGGCTCGTTGATTGGAGGTTGTAGATGCGCACGTGGTTTTTTTCTGAACAGTCTGTCCATCGCCCATCGTGCAGAATCAGAGTCGACCCCAGCCCCACTGCCATACCAGGGATTGGCCTCTTACGAAATCTTCTCGGATGTGGGTGGTGTTAAAAATCGCGGTGCTCCTTGAAGACGACGCGCTGTGAGACCCTGGATCTGGCCGATAACTCATTTAGACTAGAGGTACCAGTCAGGGGAAGGAGCAGGAGATGGAGGAGGAGAATGCGAAGGAAGGATCACGAGGAGGATGCGAAGCGCGATTGAGCTGAGCTGGAGCAACGAAGAGGGGAAAAGGGGACGGATCAGCAGGTAGACGGAGGTACAGGAGGATCATAGCAAGACAAGCGTGCATCAACGATGCCGCAACACACCGCCCCGTGCCAGGTCCCAACTCCCGTCCCGGCCCTCCTCCTTTCTGTTGTGTCTCGCGAGTTTGGACTGGCAGTGTCAGTTGAGCTGTACGGTGGAGACCCATACCAAGACACACCCTGCTTGCCCCCCAGGGTGCCCTGGGTTGCTTGGGTTTCGATGGCGTTGCGACGAAAAGCGTGTTGTGACTACACCAGAGATCAGTGGACGCCCTGGTGTCCCAGGCTTGGGTTTTTTTGTGGAAGGCTTCCTGTGGTTTGGGCCCCTACTCTGGACGGGGCCATAATCGCCCCCCCATTGAAACCTCTGGGGGATTTGGGCTCGTGATGTCGGAACGGGTGGGGGGGGGGAGGAAGAGGAGGATGAGGAGGGGGAGGAGGATGGAGGGGCGGGATTGGGCAGGCTCAGTCAGGAGGAGAAAGTTAATAATCACCACCACCCCCTTGGACAAAAAAAACATCCGATAGAGCGCGCGCGTGGGGCCCGATAGACTAAAAGGGGGGCCCCAGCTTGAAGCTACCCCCCTCCCCCCTTCCTTGCTAAAGGGGGAGGGCTTCGGAAGCCCCCCCCCCTCCCCTTCTTTTCGTAGTCCGGAAAAGGGGGGGGGGGTCTTCCAAGCTACCCCCCCCTCCCTCCCTTTAATTGAGCCGGGGTGAGCCACCCCTCCCCCTTTGAAAGGGGGAGGGGCTTCGGAAGCTACCCCCCCCTCCCCTTCTTTTCGTGGCCGGAAAAGGGGGGGGGGGCCTCCAAGCTACCCCCCCCTCCCTCCTTTTAATGGAGCTGGGGTGAGCCACCCCCCCCTTTGAAAGGGGGGGGAGGGCTCTTTGGAAGCTCCCCCCTCCCTCCCTCCCTTGGTGCAAAAGGGGGGGGGGATTGAAGCCCCCCCCCCTTCCCCCCTTTGGCCGCCCAGCTCCCGGAGCCATCGCCCTCCCTTTCGCTTCCATTTATTCCTGCCCATCTCCCTCCTCTTCTTCCTTTTGCCTCCTCCTTTTCCTCGTCCTGCTCATCCTCCTCATAGTCATCATCGTCATCATCGTCATCATCATCGTCGTCATCATCATCATCAGCATCATCATCATCGTACTCCCCCGCGGGTCCTTCCGTTCCGTTCCTCCTCCTCATCCTCCTCGGTTTTCTCCTCCTCCTCCATTTTTCCCTCTTCCTCCTCCTCCTCCTCCTCCTCCTCATCATCATCATCATCACCATCATCATCATCATCATCATCATCATCACATCATCACATC